CTGAAATTTTGAGAAGAAAAAATCTGTTTTTATGAAATTAATTTTGTTTCAAAAGAGTAAAATTATGAAATTATGAAATTAATTAAAACGAAATGAAATTACGTTGAATTAAATGGTCAAATTTAATTAAATTCAGTAAATTAATTTAAATAATTTTATAAATTATTAAACTATGCATAAAACGTAACAAGAAATAACTTCTAGTCAAAGTGCATAATATTCAGATATTTTATAATTTATGACCTCCTAATTAAGGAAGTTAATTGGCAGTTTTGCTTCCTGTACATAACAAAGTTGGCATTTTTATATGTATTCAATTTAAAAAATTCGTGAATTATGATTTCTTGCAATATGTTCCAATCAGATTTGTATAGTTTACGCATAAGTATTTTATAAATTTAAGTCATCGAAAAAAAAACGTTCACATAAGGTAAGGCTCTAGCAAAATAGAACATCAAAATATTCTATTAGGTTGGGGAATAACACGTCACTCAATAAGTCTCCGGTCTAACTAAGAAAAACAAATTTTTTTTTAGAAATTCCACTTTAATCATCAATATACATTCCTTCCAGTGTGATACATTGATTCCAACGCACCTTTAACTTTTCAATTCCCTTTATATTAAACGATTTGTCTTTGCCCCCAAAATAAGCTTCAGTTTCCGCAATCACTTCTTCATTTGAGCCAAATTTCTTTCCCTGGAGCATTTTTTTCATATCTGCAAAGTGCCAGTAGTCGCTGGGGTCCAAATCTGGGGAGTACGGTGTGTGGGGAAACAATTCAAAACGTAATTCATTCAATTGAACCATCGTGTTCATCGACTTGTGACACGGCGCATTGCCTTCGTGAAACAGCAAACGCGGCACCCACTTTGAAAGTAATTTGCACATGCCCAAATTTTCATGCAAAATTGTGAAGACACTACCTTCTGATATCTTCAAGGCATCAGCTATCTCACACAACTTATGTTTACGGCCCTTTAAAACTATTTTGTGGACATTTTTTATGTTTTCCGGAACGACTGCTGATTTTGGGCAACCAGAGCGTTCAGCATCATCGGCACTTGTATGACCGCGTTTAAATTGAGCATACCAGTCAACGATAGTTGATTTCCCTGGTGCAGAGTCCCTATAATGCTTATGAAGTCACTTTTTAGCTTCAACAGTATTTTTTCCGATTAAAAAACAGTGTTTAATCAACACACGAAATTCCTTTCTATCCATTGTCTTCAAAATTACGAAACTGGGGGTACTAAAATGACTGTAACTTCTAAACTATTGGTCAGAATACCCTGAAATTTTGACACGTACTGTTTGAAGGTTAGTATTATTCGAAAATAACGTGGGTCTGTCACCAGTATCGCCATATATGTGTCAGATCGGGGACTTATTGAGTGATGTGTTAAGTTCGTAGCGTTTTGACATTTTCTTTTTTTTACAGCGACATTTTGTAATTTGCAAGAGGTTATAATATTCATTCGATAGAGCTCTTTCTGCTCTACAAAACTGCGTTAATCGTTTTTTTCAGTAGATTCATTCGTCATTACTATTGAGGCTCAGAAATGGAATATCAAGAAGGTAAGAAGCAGCATTTTCGATACCTGTCCTTCTTCGCTTTCCATCGCGGCCAAAAAGTTGTGAAAAGTTGTGAAAAGTTGCTGAAACAGGTCGGGATATTTGCAATGTATACGGAGAAGGTGTCATAGGTGAGTCGACAGCACGGAAATGGTTTGCAAAATTCAACCTAAGGTTGGGTAAGAAGTTCGTAGCGTTCACATACTGAGGCACCCAGGCTCCCAATTTTTCGACAAATCCCATTGAATGGAGATGATTGAGAATAGTTTTGTAGTCACAGTTCATTTTTTCGACCAATTCACGACTAGTTTGAGGACCATCCTGCTTCACAAGTGCTCGGAGACACTTTTCGTCGAACTTAGAAGGTCTTCCGCTGCGGGGCGGGTTTTCGACGTTAAAATCGCCATTTTTAAATTTTGCAAACCATTTCCGTGCTGTCGACTCACCTATGACACCTTCTCCGTATACATTGCAAATATCCCGGGCTGCTTCAGCAGCTTTTTGGCCGCGATGGACAGCGAAGAAGAGCAGATGTCGAAAGTGCTAATTTTTACTTCCTGGATATTCCATTTCTGAGCCTCAATAGTAATAACGAATAAAACTACTGAGAAAAACAATTAACACAGTTTTGTAGAGCAGAAAGAGCTCTATCGGATGAATATTATAACCCCTTGCAAATTGCAAAATGTCGCAGTAAAAAAAAAAAAATGTCAAAACGCTACGAACTTATTCCCCAACCTAATATATAGGACACGAATTTTACAAAAGAAAATATTTTATACAAAAGTTGAAGCGTTTTCTGAGATTTCTGAGCATTTACATGTTACAATATGAACACCAAAACGCTGTAAATATATTAATAAGAATTTGTTGATCTTACTTTAATTTATATGATCTCTTTATCTCCTACAGGAAAATTCATTCTATTGAACTCGTAAACGATGAATATTCACACATCTATAAAATATGTATGTTCTTCGTATCACAAAACTCTACTAAGAATTTAATTACAGTCAAACGGATACAAGTGCAATAAAATCATTTTTCGAATATTCAGAAATTCGTAATTTAGAAGATAAATTTAAAAGGTAAGTTAAAAAGTGGTGTATATGCTTCTTACCATACTTATGTTAAACATTAAACACAATTTAGTTTTTATAGAGATTTTATTAAGAATTTCTTAACATATTTGAATTTCAAATTCGATTTTTTCGATATTAGAAAAGTGTGACGTACATCTCTTCAGTTCTAACTCCGGCAACTTTTTAAGTGTTACATTTATTAATAAAATCTTACTATTTTATAGTTTTTATTCTTCTAAACACGAACTCTAATCGCACGGTGCGGTGGTCGCCCTGCCTATTATCTCGATATAACGGAATAACTGAATGCCGCACCACGCCAACAGTGAGTACCACTGATAGCGACGCGTATTTTGCCGTAATATTTTCCTTGTAAAATATAAAGGAAAGTGATTTTGTAACTTCGGTCCGTGTTTTCTGCAGCAGAAATGTCTGCTCTATAAGAAATATCTGCAAAAATTAGGGCATTTTTGGTGTCTTTCTTACTTTGATCATAATTTAGACATATTTAAATGCTTATAATGTAATAACAATTTATATCGTTTTATTTATAAAGTTTACAGATTTTTCTCGTGTAAAAAGCCACTGAATAGCTGCAATGGTAAAACCACAAAAAAATTCCAAAATTAAAAATTTGCAATTTTTTTTAATATTAATTTTTTCAAAAAACTGTACGTCCTAAATAAAAACGGTTTTCACATTTGTATTCAGCTTGCAAAAATCTATAAGAATTTCATAGTGGTGGTTACGAAATCATTTGACTGCTGTATAGTGCAATTTATGCCGAGTGAATGCACCAGTATGTACAATAGAATATCATTTAATAATTTTCATATATTATGTCATATTATTGGACTGATATTGAAAATTATAAGAAATAGTTAAAACTAACGTAGGAAATATGAAAAGTAAGCTTATTTTTCGGTATCGTAACGGATGACGTTAATGTATTTAGCGGATATTAAAAATAATTTAAATGCTATAATAAATGTAATATAATTCAAATAAGTTGCCAGTGGCAACAATTCTAATTCTAATTTTAACATAATTACTCAATAGTTAGATACTGTTTCTACAGTTTAAGAATGATATTTCAATATGATTAACCCTTTCGCTTCGGCTGTCCAGTCCGCCGAAGTACTGTAACTGAACGGAAACGCGCGCCGTGAATACGTGCAGTACGCGTTGTTGCTGTACATATATACGTTTTCCTGAGTCTTAAATGATTATTTTGCTGAATAAAGAAATCTTTGCTACAATATAATGAGTATAATTTAGATCTTTGATATGAAAACATTTATAACGTACAATTATAACTTCTGTAACTTATAAACATTTATAACTTACAAAGCTACAGTATTTTACAATATTTACTATATTTACAATATTTTAATTATGAATTAATTATGATGCGCAAACAAGTTAATATATTAATGTGAAATGATTAATAGTATAAGCACGCTTAATTTTGTTAAGCGGCGCTCGTACCCGCAGGTCATATTGTGTTCGCCGCTTATAAGCAGCGCTCGTACCCACAGGTCATATTGTGCGCGCCGCTTATAAGCGGCGCTCGAAGCGAAAGGGTTAAGATAGAGGTATAGGCGTGTTAAATTGGACAGACTATAATGTGTTCCAAATTATTTACATTATATTGATGTAATGTGAAATAATCCTTTCAAAATTGTAGTAATTAAATCTTTAGATAGTAAATCACATTTTTCCACTTCTGTAAATCGAGTAATATGTTAATAAAAATATAATGTAATATATGTTTCGAATTCGTCTCGATGTCCTCTAAAGCTATGAATAAAAAAAAATGTATGTTCCTATTTATGAAACCCAAGGTGACCTTGACTTTGCCAAGAGAACAAACTGTTTTCAAAATTTGCTTTACTAATATCTATTGTGTACTTCATACCTTGCAAATTTTATTCTAAACTTTTTTTCGTAAGGTGGCTGCAAGTGGGAGAGAAATCGTGAGTAGCGTTACAGGTAACACCCTGTATAATATTTGAAAATTTGTCGAGTACGCGTGCACTTGGTCTACATTCAACGTGATGGACTTCGCTATGAACTAACTTCATTCCCTTCTATAAGCATATACAATGTTTGTATACATGAAATGCGTCGAGAGTAAAGGCCACAATATTCAGGAATAATTTCGCACAGTTCATAATTGCTGATTATGATTTCTATATTGTTGTATATATAATTGTACTCTTCTTAACAAATTCCGACGAACGTATTTAACATTCCATATGCAAGTTTAATTGTTCAAACGCGATAATAACTTTTTGTCGCAAGTGTTCGGGACTTATGAAGTGATCACTACAAATAAAAATCCATTGATGAAAGATCAGGAGATAGTGGCGGCCAAGGAATTCTGCTACCGTAACCGATCCAGCACCGATAATTTTTATTTAAAACCTGCCTTACCTTGCGACTGTAATGTGGTGGTGCTTCGTCTTGTTAAAAAATTAAATTCCATCGAATATGAAGTGGAACATTCGAGGATCATATCAGTATACACTTGATTGCTATATGTTGCCATAAATTTGCGGAAATTAAACGTTTTGTTCGATAAGCATACGGTAACGATACAAGAAATATCACGTTGTGGCTTTGATTTCCGATGTATTCCATGTATACAAACATTGTATATGCTTATGGAAGGGAATAAAAATAGTTCATAGCAAAGTCTGTCAAGCCGAATGTTGACCAAGTGTACGCGTATTCGACAAATTTTCAAACCTAATTTACTTGGTAACAAAGCCTCATATGAAAAAATTGTATTCTATCAGTCTATTCTATAAGTCTTATTTTTTTATATAGAATCACACTCTTTTCAGTTGTATCACCTGTTACGGGACACTGTATAACTTATAGATCTCGTACATAGTCAGGGCCATGTATGTATACGGAGGCAAAGTTTTATTAATAAGTGAGTAATACTTGGAGAGTTCTTTTCGTAAGCTCTGCAAGTAACAGTGGTTTTGTAAATGTTTTCCTTTTTTGTTTTTGTCTAATTATGAATTGTCACGTCATCATGTCGACGCGCTATCGCTAGCTGTACGCTTTCCTACAAGAGGAAGAGAGAGTCATATAATAAAAGGAAAGAGAAGGTACATAGCCACATGTAGTTCCGCATCTGTCATGTTGCGCTTCGTGAACGATTGGAATTAATGTTTTTACAATTGTAAAGATTCCAAGAAAGATGGATTATATTTTTATCTGAACAGGAAAAAAACTATCAGTGCCAATAAAACTTGGGATTTTAGCATTTTGTGAGTAAGTGGGATATAGTATAGTAAGTAGGAAAACCGTTTCAGAAAACCGTTTAAGAATAAACGGTTGATATCATATATGTTGCGATGAAGAAATGATAGATAAATGGATTTTTTAATGTGTATAAATACAGTTAGCAACTGAGTACAGTTACTCCGGTTGTATTGTTATGAACAATACTAACAATTGTAAACATAGAAAGACAGTCTTTTACATATATGTATAGCACTTCAAGCCTTTCAAAGATTTCTAAATTCTAAATATCTAAATTTCTAAATTTCTTTAGCTTAAAACTTAAGAATTTGTCATTTTTTAATTAATTTCCAAATTTTTTAATTTTTGAAGTTCCAAATTTCCAAAGTACAATATTTCTAAATTTCTATAGTTCTAAAGTTCCAAATATCAAAATTTTTAAATTTCTAAAGTTTCAAAATTCCAATATTTAAACATTTCAAAGTTCAAACATTGCAATGTTTATAGTTTCAAAAATTTCAAATTTCCAAAGTTCTAAAATTAAAAAATTTTTTAATTTAAAAGTTTCAATGTTTCAAATTTCTATAGTTCCAAATTTCAAATTTCCAAAGTTCGAAAATTTCAAGTTTTCAAACTTTTAAACTTCCTTATCTGCAAAATTAAAAAATTCCAAATTTCGGAGTTTATAATTTTAAAACTTTGTTAACTTAAAAATTTCTAAATTTTAAAATTCGAAGTGTTTACAAACAATAAGCTTTGGGGTAAATGCTGCGTTTATTCAACGCTAATGGCGATAGTGAATATGTGTATTTATGTCTTTGAATGATAAGAACAGTGGTAACAAACCTATGACTTGCGGAGATGAACTTATAGAGATTATGCTCCTCTGAACTCGGGTTACGGAGGTAAAATTATGTAATCGAGCACGTGACAAACAATTCGATGTAAAGTAAGTTTATATTTCAATTGTGGCAGAGGTTTAAATTATTGTGGCTCGACTGAAATGTAAGAAAAAAGAAACCTCAAATGTCATTTTCATGAATAAAATGTTTTTTATTCTCATACGTTAGATACTAAAGTACTATTCAGCTTTACTGCGGATACCGTGTATATTCATTATCTGTGGTTGTAGTAAAAAGAAAAGATCGAAGGACGTTAGTAAACTCTTTCCAGTATTCGTTGAATGTTAACCTTTCCGTTCTGAACTTCCTGTTTAAATATGCAGCAAATATTGAAGTATTTTTTAATCATTCCATAAAATTTATATATGAAAGTAAAAAAGTTTCACATGTACATTAAAAACAAATTGGATAGAAAGAAAATAATAAAGTTATTTGTGTTTTAACTAGGTTTAATTATGCATTTAAAATATTTTTGTAATGTATCGCATATTTTCTACATTCTAGTCAAGCTATTAACTGTATATTAATTAAATAGATTGTGTATATAATAGCTGCGTCATAAGTATGTAAATATATAAAAAAATTCACTGTGCAATAATTTATTACGATTTTAAATATTATAAAGGTATGTAAGATACAAAAATTTGTTTCTTTTATATTTTTACATGTCTTAATAATAATAGCACTGTTTGAAATGATCAAAAGTGTTATTTCTTAAATTAAGTTTCAACTTTTAATTTTACGTTTTTAATTCAATTGAAAAATGTAGTGCAAAACGTTCCATAAAAATAGAATAAAAATATATTTACTTACTGTAAGTAATTATTGCAATAACTATAATTGTGATCTTCATGGTGATAAGTCGACTCACTGAATTAAAACACGGTGCGCGTCTTCATATGGTGGATCGCTTACTGGCGACGAGACTGTCAGCTTGGAATTACCCAGCCAAGCAATACTGATTCAGTACCATATTCATATTCGCACGCCTACGTGTATACGTACATTTATCAGAAAAATATACCACAACATAACGGACAAAGATCCTTCTTCCAAAAAGTTAATATTGAAGAGAGAGGCAAATGATTAACATGCTATTTATCAGATACGGAAAAGAATGCGATGGAAGTAGAAATAAAATGAATCACAACTTACGATTAATGGCAAGAAACGATATTATAACCCCGCAGTTTGTCTACACGATTTTTGATTCTAGCAACTTTAAATGTTTATTCGAAGGTAAAGTATTGACATCGTGTCTATTAAAAAATAAAAAAAAATAAAATAACCGAAATATATAAATTATTTATATTTATACGGTCACTACTTGGTGTCGAACCTAACCATATATTCAAGGTTGACACGCTTGAATATTATTGAAATAAGATATTTATAAAATGATTATTTAAATAAAACCAAATTTATTTCTGAAATAAAACTCGAGTAGACATAAAGTGAATCATTATAAACATTCTGATAGCATGTGTCAAATGAAAATAACTTCGTTATAATATGTTCTTTTTGCACATTATAACTTTCTTATAGTGCTTTTCTAATTTCGTCTTCTAATTTTTTTCCGACATTCTATTCCTATGTGTATTTTGCTTATTTTCTTACATTATATATACATATATATATATATAAAAGTCTAATTTAACATATATATGTAGGATAAAAATAAATTTGAACACGGTTGTGTTAAAAAGAAAGATTTAATAATGAGATAATAATTTGAAACGTGCTAATAACTATCCACGGGATAATAAAACGGGAGTCGATGCCTCGCGGTCTTTTTCCGACGCCGCGCCGTAGTGGTACGCAATCTATGTTTCCGCGGGAACAAACAAACAATTGCCGATCGCGGTTTACATGGCAACGCATGTACGCAGAGCGCGCGTAGCCGAACGTGCATTTGTAACGCTACACACTAGGTGTCCAATAATTCAGCACCACATACATATACATACATATATACAATTTTATTATTGATATTCAAACCTTCCATTTTTGTAATTAATTATCACTGATTTTAGTAATTTATAAAAATGTTATAAATATTATATTTTTCTTGTTTTAATAATTCAATAGTCTGTCCCCAGGCAGTATTTGTAGGAATTAGTGGAAACAGCGGTCATACATGTATAATATGGCATCTAATAAAGTTAAAAGTAATATGGTCTAATAAAAAATGAACGTAAAACATTTTTTGGTAGCAATAGTTAGAAATTAATCAATAAAGATTGATATATTTCTTTCAGGATTACAACCAACTGCAACTTCTTTTCAAAACAAGAAGTATATTAGCTAGTAAACTAATCCTATCTTCATAAAAAAGATTCAAATCATTTGGTTCAGTGTCAAAAAAGTACAAGAATTTTCTGATAAACCTGAAGTTATTTTTTGCATTATAACGTATTATATTTATTGTATTGCATCAAATTATGTTATATTTAAACATTTTTTAGATCCCCTTCAGACATTTTTATTATAGTAATTAAAAGTTAGTGTTGCATTCAGGAATAGGAAGCCAAGGGTCCTGGCATTATTTTATTCTTTAAATATATTTCTACAATTATTTGATGATTTTTGTAGGATGTAAATTAAAATTATTTTGATATGTTCTATTCGATTTCATGTTAAAAATTGTATCTTGAGTACGTCGCGGTTACAAGTTAAACTGAATACTACTGTATAAAATGATAGTGATGTAAAAAAGTTAATATAATAAAATTTTACCGATATACGTATATACCGCATAGAGTTGATTTTACAAAAATAGGAATTATTTGACCATGATTCTATTACATGGTTTTTTGTTTTATTTGCCAACTGTAATAAACTTAAATCAAGGTAGAATACATGACAGTAATGTGACGATTGCGATACATGAAGCAAATAAATATACATATATTATTTTATTAACATTTTTCCAAAATTTATTTCCAGAGAACTGAAAAAATATTTTATGGCAAGAAAGAAATAGCAAAATATGTGCTCTGTCACATTTTTCTTACAGGGACTGAGAATTGTGAAGTTAATTGTGCAAAATTCTCAAGTGAATTATTATTTTATTCTGATATTGAGAAACAAGTTATGTATTAAATAAAACTTAATTTACATGTTAAATAAAACTTAATAAATGTATTAAACTTGAAATATAATATATACTAGAGTACTGCAAAGATAACTAAATGATATACATGTTGGTTAAACAAAAACCGTTGTTTTCTATCATAAATAGAATTTGTGCTAATTACACTTCTTACTCATTAATCGCGTGATAGTAATTCGCTAATATCATTACGGACGGCTTTTTATTACATTTGCGCAAATAGTGGATTGAGACCTACATCTTGTAACGAATTCTGAAGGTGTTTTCTGCCGATGAAATTTAATCGAAAGTAAAATCAAACATAAATGATAAATGTGACTAATCCAAAATAATTTCAAATAATAACAGATAATTTAGATACTAATAATAGATGATAATTCAAATGAAATGGCCCTACCGGTGAGTCGGTTCGATTTCATATATTACAATTTTTCATGTATGTATGTACTTAAATTTTTCGGCGATTTATTGTTTATCTCTTTTTATCCGAAAAATTAGATCAGTTATTTATAACATAAAAAGTAAATATGTTTAGAATTTTTTTTCTTGCTGATTAATTTTTAATTCGCAGACATTTTATCATATTTAATTTACTGGTACTTTAAGATAATAATCGTGAGTGCATGTAATACGAGCCATTTTGTTTTATATTGCATCTTGACGTTGCGATTCCTGTATTTAATTTTGCAAATATATTTTTTTTTATTTAGATATCAATTAAATGGATTAACTAACATCAATACTAGTTGTTATACATATATTAATTATTTGTTCAAAAGTAGACCATCACTTTCTATCTGACCCTGCACACGAAACAGGAAGTTAATAAAAAAGCTTCAAATCCAGGAAGTGAGCATAAATTACTGTGTCATTTTTAAGATTTTTGATATACTAAGAGAAATGTATGCGTTAACGATAATTCTTATTTAACGATAATACAAATAAACAAAATAATTGTTTTATACAACTTTTGTGATAGCTACAATTATCTTTCTCGATCATGGACATGTAATATAATTTGACCTTTTCAAAAATGTCAAAAAGTGAAGACTGCAAAATTCTGTAAAATCATCCATATAAAAAGTGTAGAAAAAGATGAAAAAATATCAATTTTAAAATTCAATATTAAGTTCTTTGAAATGATTATGGTAGAAATAGTAACCATAATAATTAAAAGTGATGCGGTTTAAAGAGAAATTCAATTCAAATTTCATTTAGCACAGATATAATGGTACGAAATTATATCTGTTAAAACAAAGATAAATAGGTAGCCATTCTTTTATGAAATCGAAGTCACCTAAGGATTTACAAATAGAAATATACATACATATATACATATACATATATGTATATTTTCCTTTTATCGCATTGTAAAGAATATCGAGTCAAATTCAATACGCATATTGCATGATATTTTTACTAACATGTTACGAATATATTAATATGTTATTTTCGTTGCAGAAGGCGGATTACATTTCGAATATGTAATTAAATAAACTGCATTTTTTTTATATTCTAACGGCGTGGTAACATTCAGTAATTTCTTCAGCGTGAAATATTTTTTTTTTTAATTGAATGCTTAAGGTCACATGCACATTTTTAGGTTATTAGTGACCACATTTGCTTTGGGACTATGTCATAAACCTATTGGTATTACATTTGTTAATAGAGACCGTTTATACTGTCTCAAAGTAAAATACAATAAAAAGCTAAATATTTCACAATATCACGTAATATGCATTCTGAATCCATCTCGATATCCTCTTCAATATGACAAAGAAAAGAATGTTTGTAAAACCTGTGTATGATTATTTAGGTGTTGGTAAATAAAAACTCGCGCCCGATTAAAATTAGAGATCTAAATTTAAACTGTTAAAGAATAATATGCACTACACTAAACGATGGAAGTGATTCAATTCCGCACGACATCCAAAGTTACAACGCAAGAACGCTTTTTTTAAAACTACTTCTTTGCCCGAAGGATTTTTTGACCCACATCTCGATCTCTTGCCTCTACTTTCTCTGATGGGTTTTCCTCAAAACATAAAAAATTATGCCACATGGAGGAAGAAGCGCATTACTTTGGTTGCACCGTTAGGTCTGCAAACGCCGTGACCCTATCATAAACTATTCTATTTATTAACTAACCTATGCACTTGTACTTAACGGATCTCACTATCCTACACCTGTAATCGATTTCGTAATGAAAACTAATTGTTTTCAAATTGCTCTTTTACTGGCTTCGATTCACTTTATACTCTGCTACTATTCTTCAAAATTTTTTTAGGTAGCTACAACTGGGTGAAGAATCGTGTGTCGCGTTAGAAGTAACACTGTATTTAATATTTACAAGCATCTATTCAAATTAGAATAAAAATTAAATTAATCGTTTAAATATATTTTTGGAAAATGTAGCTGAATATTTTGTAAAAAAAAAATAATTAATTAGAAGGATATTTAGGGTTTCCATATCATTATCACAAGCGACACATGAAAATGTATTAAAATTTTAAGAGACGCAAGTTTCCTGGTTCGAATTTCAGGAATACAGTTTTCCTACTCAAAATTAAATGCATAATACATTTTCAGCAGCTAACTTTGTTAGTGCATCAAAATGAATAATGTGTCGTCGTATTGAATATTCCCAGACAAAGTACTATCAATGGTCATCGTTCTCGGTAATAATTATCCATTAATAAGTGTAGATAAAATAGCACAAATAGTCAGAATTAAACATATGGTTTCATGTCACTTGATGAAGTTCTATTTTTTGATGTTCATTAAATTGCAAAATTAAATTGCTTATTAAGTGAACAGTCTTTTGTCTAATAGCAATCTAGGCCAAATAGATGTCACAATTCGGATTGCAATGTTTCAGTGATTTTCACCGATTGCAATGTTTCATGATTTTCATTTTATATGTATATTACAAAAATATAAAATTACATAAAGTGTGGATATAATACTGTTTATTGTGTTGAATGATGTTAGTTGATACCAAGATTCATGAAAATAAAGTAATTACTAATAAAGGTGTCAATATTTATCCAGATTCCGTTATTTCTTTTAATTCAATTATAAAAATACCTGATGAACAACGCGTTAACATTGAGAATTCTAAATAAACTTTTATTTTGCAAACGTCTCCAAGTGGCTAGATTGTTTGTAACTTTAACAAAAATATGTTAATGTTTGAAATTCTACACGAAATTCTACACGATATAGAGTGAAATTATTGCTATAATTTTTAAGATACTTTTGGTAATCTGATAAAAAATTGTCATGAACAAGAATTTATAAATGTTCAATCGTTAATAAACTCAACAATTGGAATTATAGACAAATATATTATTTAGTCCAATGCAAATTATTACTTTTGTACATCAACAATATAAAAAACAATTTATATAATGATAAATGTTTAATAAAATTATTTACAAACGTTCAAATATTAAGTCGTATATCACAATAAAAGGAAACGTTATCTCAACCATTTCTAGTTAATTTAAAGATATGATCAGATCTAATGAAACTGTAAGATGTAAGATATACAAATTGTAGAGTATTTTAACTTATTTGTTGGTGACATACAAAAGTCAAACAAGTTTGTTTAAAGTTTGTTTAAACTTGTTACAGCTTATTGTGGAGTATCTTCTGTCGTAACAAGTATCCTTTCACAATTACTTATTTGCATAAAATTTGATTACAACTCCTTTGAGCGAAATTGCAGAGGAAAATAGCTTTCCACCATTTCATTGAATAACTCAGGTTGGCTCTGTTTATGCTGCTATGTATAAACTTTTGTTAATTTCAAATTCACTTCGTGCGATGGCTGTAAGAGGAATAATGGTTTTTTGTCTATTTGATAAGTTGTAACAGTTTCTTTGCATACATCGATTTTAAAGTTGGACACAATCTTCATCAGCGCCACCTTTGATTGAATCTTAGCAAATCTTGCGCCTGAGGAAAAAGAATCGGTGAAATTTATTTTCAAAATCATGTATATATATTTTAACATCAATGAAACTCCATCTTACCGATACAATTCCTTGGACCATCTCCAAATGGTAAAAAGTACATTGGATGACCGATTTCAGTATTTTCGCTTAGAAATCTGTTAGGATTAAAGACTTCTGGTTGCGGAAATATATCTGGATCATGCTGAATAGCGTAAACAGGCAGGACTACGAACTGACCCTTTGGAATAGTTACTTTTGTACCCGAAAATGTGTAATTTGCCATTGCTTTTCTAGATAGCCATAATACCACTGGGTATTTCCGTAACGTTTCTACAACAAGCAACAAGTATAAATATTATTTATATTTCGATTAATATTGCATGTAAATCACTTGCATATATTACACGAACTATACAAATTCATCTTTAACATTGAATATTTAAATGAATATTAAAAATAAGATGAATACTTAAAAATTTTCAATTTTTGATGCATTTTTCCCATTACTTATTCTATAAAACGATTTGTGGTATAAATAAAATATTTTAATTTAATATCAACCATTACAATGCTGAATTCATAGAATGTTGTAGCTGTAATACTTATAAATTTGATGAGAGTGTAACAATTTAGTTCTCTTCACCTTGATGAGAAGAAGTTTACAAATTGAAATATTTTTTGAAGTTTTTTTGATCAGGAGATGTTTACTTTAGATGGACCTGATGACATTCACTATTATTAACATGATTTAAGAAATCTTTAAGAAATTCAAAAATTTTAAGCATCTACGTTATGGAAGATATTAGAGTAACGATTTGGTTTAGCATCGTTGTTGCAATTAGATGGAAACAAAATTTATTATCAGGCAAAATGAATGGTAAAAACTGTATTGAAACAATAGATGAACAAATAAATGCACATGATATACTAATTGTTGATGTTTTTGAATGGCCAACAAGATTTTTGTGAATACTATAGAAAAGTGTTCGTATTACTTTGCCAGAATAGTGAAATTTCAGTGGTGTTGAAATATACTATATTAAAATTGAAAACGGTTTTAAGATGTTGATGTTTTAAGAAACTGTATTGTAGAGGAATGGAAACAAATACCACAAAAAGCATTAAAAAGTATACAAATCATTGCTGAGTGATTGTATAAATTAAACAAAAAGAGGGGGCCACAAGATAATAAACACTAACTACAATTACTTTATACTTATCATCACTCGCTTTTTAACATGCTATTTTGTTGTCTCTTTTACGAAGTATAACATTTACGTCTTCATTTGTACAACATCATGAAAATGAAAATTAGAGATGACAATTAACATGAATAAACATGCTCGCAATTACTGGTGTATTGAAGTATATTATTGCTTTTCTTTATCATACAAAATATAAGGAAATATAGAACGTGTTATCTTTTGGTCCCGGGTGTACCATTCACTAAATGCAAGAGAAACAATACCTTTGAGGACTGCATCCAAATATTTCATTTCCATTATACTATCGTACGTGATCTCTCCATTGTTGCGTTGTAGGACATCTTTAATTTCTGCTCGGAGGTTCTCTTGAATTGGCGGATTTAATGCAAGCTCGTATAAAGCATTGGTGATCGTTACTGAGGATGTTTCGAAACCAGCAGCGAAGAAAACGAAAGCTTGTGCAGTTAGTAAAACGTCATTCACATCTGTACACATAAATGAAATTATATTTTAAAGAGAAAATGAAAAACGTTACAAGACATTTGATTCTCAGCAGCAGATGATTATATTAACATTGAGTGTAATTTAACATTACAATTAATATTGACTTTACGATTTTTTGCTTCACCGGTTTAAATGACTCGAATATTGATAGAATTTGTTATCGAGTTTACGAATACATAATTTAATGCATCTAATATTGCTCCAAATATTCATTACTGTCAATATGTCAATATTACCTTAAATGTAATTGAATTTAAAATGAAGCTAATATTGTGGCGAGAATGTTACTGTAATAATGTCACAATTCTGTGTTTTTGACTGATTTTTCTGTTCTTCGCTGCTTATTTTGAAGAAAATATACTTATCGAAAAATTTATTTAATATTTAGAGTACGGTTTTTTCTCTATAAGAATAAAATTATATAATTTTATGTAAAATACAAAAGGTACAACTGAAAAAATTTTACATGTTTTTTAGTGTTGTTAAGAGTATTAATAGTTTGACAAATTTGCGGTAGGCCATAAGTACTTACAGCAGATATGGCTATAGATATCAGTAATATAGTTGCTGTATGACTCATACAGATATTTCTTATCTCTTTTATAATTAATACAATTGTGAAAACTTTCAAATATACAGAGCATTATAGGTATATACATATGTATTGCATAATTTTTGTTTGTTGCCTAGATTCACTCTAAGCTGATATATTAGGTTGGGGAATAAGTTCGTAGCGTTTTGACATATTAACTTTTGTAATTTGAGAAAAAAACGCCGTTTTTTGACGTTTTTTTTACATCAATATTAAGTATAAAAAAAACATTTACGCAAAAACTGATATACCCATTTTAAAGAGTACATTCTCCGCTTTCTGGATCCGTATTTACAATTTCTGTTCGATGGTGGGTTCATGAGATAATGACTATCAAAGGAAAAAGCGTCATTTCAGCTTTGGTAGCTCATAACTTTGCGACCGATTGTCGAAACGAACTTCATGGACGTGCAAATTATAAGGGAAGGAATAGGGAATAGCAGTCTAGAAGTGGCATTAATCAAAAAAATTTTTCTATGTCTGTACAAACCTTAAAAAGAAGAAAAAAATTCTAAAATGTTTTCATCGCGATTTTTTGTATGTTTTGTTAATGATAATAGGCTTACAACATTTTTGAGATAAAGGGTCGAAAACTAGAGATCTGAAGCTTCAAAATGACTATTCTGGATGTCTTCTGTGATGAATTTCAACGGAGGCAGAGCAATTTGAAAATGACCTAAAAATTTAAGGAATTTTTCTGTTTCCTTAATTTTTTTGACTAGTGTATTTTTTACAGATGAATTACAAGAATTACAAGATAAAATCGAGAAGAAATTAAAATCATAGGCAATTTAATAGCTTGAAATGAATTTGAGCAGCAAAATAAAATTGCATGAATATACTCTACACATTCCTAAGGTTTCATAATTTTTTAAATTTTCGTTTCGGGCATGTTTCCCTGTTAGAAATGTTATTATTCATTTGCATTAACTGATATTTTCAATTTTAAAAATTATTTTTACAAAAATATTCTTTCTGTCAGTTTTTAAAATTTTGCAATGTTTTTTCTTCGTTTTTTTTTTCGTAATGTGTGTACTTTGAAGAAATGCTGCAATATGAAAGATAAAGTTAAATACAAGTACAGTGCTTACCACTAAATCCAATTTTTCCTGGGTTTTGTTTTAACTCTACTAAAACATCAACGAAATCATGTCTACGAACATTGTGTTTTAGTCTATAATCTATACTTTCTTTAGTGATTTTCGTAAAGAAATCCACAATCTCGTAATCAACAACGAATCGTCCGAAGATTTTAAATAGTAATGGATATTCCCTCAATCTATCTCTAATGACGGTCTTGAAACTCGATTGGAAAACTTGTCTACCCATTTTACGGAATTCGCTGTCTTCTGCAGCTAATGCGTTCGCTTCTATTCCAAACGCACAAGAACCGATCACATCCGTTGTGAATTTTGCAGAAATCTCACGACAGTCGATATGTTTCCCTTTTTCGGCTATTTTCTCCAGATATTTCTCAAAATGGTTTGCACATTCCAGTATCAAGTGTAACATTTCCTTGAGTTTCCCTGAAGTGAAAACAGGAGAAAACCGGTTCCTTAAAGGTTTCCATCTTTTTGCTTCAAGTCTGAACAGATGCAATGAAAATGGTTCAACCTGTAAATAATAACATCAAGGTATTTAAGCAATAAAATAATAGCTGAAATAAGTAGCTATTATCATATACATTCCAAAATTGTCAGCAACATTCTAGTTTTACTTGACACTGTAAAAAGCACTCTCGTTTAATGGTGACCTAACGAATGAGTTACTATAACAGTTACTAAACTGACATATCATCTATTGTGTAAGAATGGTAGATGATATATTATGATTTCAAAGTAAGTAATGGGGAATTTGAAGCACGAATCTGCACTTCGTCGCAAAGTGCAATGTTAATTGCACATTTTCTCAAAATAATGAAATGACAAGAACAATGAAAAGAATGCAAGGGTATATAAACAAATACTAGAAATACTAATAAATAAAATATTTAAAATTATTCAAAGATTTTAATAAAATAATATTGTATTCACATTTTATAGAATTAAAGGAAGGAGTTATGAATGATTGATATGCTTAAAAGTTTTAAGAAAACACATATTTATTGAATGGCTGATATTTTTGAATAAACATAAGATAAAATGAGAAATAGGTGAATTATTTTGCATTCAACTTTATATTACATTTAATATAATTATTATACATAAGACATAAATTGTTTCTACAGCAATTTGTAGACTTTTTTACCCTTTCCAAAATATACTTTTTTTACAAGAATTACTTAAAACCTACTTTAAGTTTTAAAAGCAAAAGAAAGTTAAAAACATTTCTTCTAAACCGTCATAATGAAATTTGGTAAAGATTTTTTGTTATATATGGAATTTTATAATTTTCAATTTATTATTGTTGGTATGTTAAAAACTTAAATTGCATCTGATGTTAATAAGAGTGGCTGAAAAAAATTCTTCAAGATAAAATTTTTGCAATGTATATTACTTGGTTTTATATTTTTCAGTTAATTTTTTTACTTCATGATACCTTATAAATTGTTTATACTGTGAAACAGATAGGGCAACATTGATGAGTTTTTCAAGCAATTAAAAGAAATACTGTTAAAGATGAGTATATTTAGTTTATAAAAATTACATATAAACTTTGTTTAAACGAATATTACCATTAATGCATACCATGAATTACACGAAATAGAACCGATTTATAAATTGAAATACATATTTTTGAGATTAATAAATTCAAAACATGTCTTTTTATCATAATTTATTTATTCGAGTAATAAATAAATACTTACTAATAGCACCAAGCAAAATAATTTCACTTACAATCAGTAATCATGGTAATTTAATCTTTACATTTGTATGTAAAACTCCGTTAGTCAAAATTTATAATTTGCACTTTGAATTCACATTTTACCAAGAAGAAGTTTGAACCTACCTCAGCATCAGGATCCCGCATTCTATCGGCGAAGTTTACAAAATCTTTGATGAGAACATCTTTCATTAAGTCCGGGTCCTTTACAATTAAAATCGGGTCGTGGCCACTAAACACTCCTATCAGTGGTTCATCCTTGAATTCATAATAGGCTTTGACGAAGCAATCATTGACTGATGTTTTTCCAAGAAACACGTTTTTGAAATTTCCCAAAAATGGAATAGGTTTCGGTCCTTTTACGCCTCGTTTCTGCCAATATTCTAACATGGACGTGGAATAATAATACAGCAGAAGTATTATTGCAGAAAAGAATCCAACAGTTTCTAATAATGACCAAGACATGGTTGCAGTTTCAAATCAAAATTGAAATTAGTTTAAATGAAACACTTCACAATCACAAAATAAAGTATATATTTTTAAGAACTATCACGGTATTCTTATTACTCTATGTCACACTGCTGTGTTCGACGGTCGCCTTCGAAGTATTAATTTCCGTATCGACGTCTCCTTTTTACATCATTTGGAGACCTTATAATATGATGGATAAACTGTAATCTAGTACAATTGATTAGTTTGATGATTAACAAGAGAATAATCTATTTACGAGCGTACTTTTAAGCAACATCATAGTGTGTCATTGTTATTAAAATAAAATTTCATGAATCTTCCAGTTATTTTATAATTTTTGTTGATGTATTGTAATTCATTTCTAAATATATTGAACTGAAATACTGTTTCGTACGTCACACGAAGATCATGATAGCACAGGTCATTACTTTTAACTTAACCTCAAATATTTCACAACAAAGATAAAATTATAGTATGTAATATGCAATGTGATCTTATTTAAGGAAATATCGATAGTTTTGAAATGAAATGTTTAATTTTCAAAAAAATTCGTTGTTCTAATACAAAAAATGTAATATATACGAACATATACATATATACTATACTAATACATATGAATTTATTTTTGTATAATGCATAGTGTGAGACATAATGTATAATGGCTCCAAGGTTTCAAAATAGTCTTCGTTTACTTAAACAGGGATATTAATACTTTTTATATCTCAAGGCGTGAAATATGTATTGATACATGAATTTGTTTAGATTATTTCGTAAACATACAAGCAGGCTGAAAATTATTATTTACATGCATAAATATAATCTGTACGTATATATTTATTGCGAATAATGGTGTAATAAGTCTAATTAATATGAAAATGCATATTAATATGAATCCACTCAATATTTTGCATGTTTTTATTTAAATTGAAAGTTCTAACTAAATTATACTATCAAAATTTGCTTATGTTGTGATTTTATTTATGGACACACTAAATAAAACATGTGTAATATGGTTGGCCAACACTCACTTTATTGAATAATTGAAAAATAATAATATGGAAATAAAAATTATATAATAAGAAAGAAAACACATGCTCTTTACTTCATAACACTCTTCATATAGACCTCAGGTGAACACAATAGGTAACATAAACACGGTAAAAGAAAGCTAGTAATCTAGAAAAACAAAAGAACCTGGCGCTCTATTTAAATTGTATATTCGCCGTCATTGACCGATTTTCAACAGCTTATTATACAGATTTTACATCTTGATGTTGTCTAGCATAGAGTTTTCGATGTCGCAAATGTTTATTCAAAAATATTCCAACATTTAACAGCATAAATGTTGCACGTATGTATAAGATTCTTATTTCTAAAGGGTATAGCAGGATAAGGAGCTCAAAAGTATCTTTTAACAAAATTAATGAATGAACATATCAGCTAATAGACTGTTAAAAGGAAATTATTTTTGCCAAGTATCGCAATTTATAGTTTAAGCTTTATGTCTTTTGTTGTGCCGTACGTAAAATTAAAAAAAAAATCTGGGATACTCTGCCCTATGATGTACGTATTTGCGAATTTTTCCAGAATTTTTAAACGCAAAAGGAATTTTTAAAAAATTCTAAAAGTTTAAAAATATTTGTTTTAATAGAAATTATATAGAGACCACGTTTATGTTTTTACAGTAGACGTGCTCTGTCATGATTATTAATCTGTAATTTTTTAAGATTTTTTGAAGTCGTGGAACATATTTGCAAAAATTAATAGCAGATATTATTATCTTAATGTTTCACGAAACCGTGTTTATATTTTATAGTTTTAACCCATTGACTGCCAGCTACGAGACATCTCGTAGTAAGCGTGTGTATCAAAACTGCCAGTTACGAGATATCTCGTAGTGCGTGCTGCAATTTTAGATTAATTACAAATGGCCATTTCAGTTAAAAATATTTTAAAAAGGTGAATGAAAAATGCTATTTATTACTGTAAATGCTATTACAATATTATATCAGTAACTTAATATAATTATATTTTGTAAAATTTCATGTATTCTTCAAAATAAAACCTTAGCACCCAGGACAAGACGCTCTAAATATGTCTGGCAGTCAATGGGTTAATAATTTGTTAAAATTATTTATACACAATTTTTCAGTTTCTTTATAGAAGTGTATCATATATAAAAATAATTCCAAATCGATATATCGTAAGATAGTGAGATCTGTTAGGTGACTAACTAACTTATGAATTTATACCTAAAAGATCTCACTACCTTACACCATATTCTTGTATATCTCATATTTGTAACATACTCTCCATTTACTCTTCCTCATAAACTTTTTTTTCTTAACCAAAATATTCTAATATTTAATAGCATAAATACTTAATAAATATAATCTTTAATTCCAAAAGAGTGATTGAAAATTTAGTCCATTTAGTGTATTAAACTTCAAATTACAAACATTTTTTATATTAAATAGTATTATTAGTCGAAATATGTAGATTAAAATCGTAATCATATAATAAAATCAAATAGTAATATTTTATAGGATAAAGGAACATCCTAGATAGATTGTGAAATTGGATTATACACAAATCAAAGTAATGATCGCAACTGGAGTCTACAGCACTACAATAGTTTTTCCAAGCCGTTTAACTAATTAATTTTTAAACACATTTCCTCAAAAATTATGTTTTCAACTTAATTTTATTATTCCTGATTTTCATTTTAGTTTAAGTTAAAGTAATTTACCTAAGTTGATCTGTACCACGAATTATAAATCACCATAAATTATCTTATATTTTTGCTATATGATGTGTATTATTGACTTATAAATGAAGAGAGATTTCTTCGTAAAAATCAACTATCATGAAACACATTCATTTGTGTCTTCAAACAATTTCAAGCTGGAAATGTGTCACGTAAGGCGCCCTGCACATTACTCTTTAATAGCAAGAAATGCTTTAAATTAACAATTTTGGAATTGTTGGATTGGGAAAAGTGCTCCCGTCTAATTTCCAGCACGGCCACCTGATTTAACGCCACTCGATTTATAGAGCTATAGTTTACGTGCAAGTTTCAACTACAGTGGCTGATACGCAGAAGCGTATTATCTATGAATGTGGCAAAGTATCAACCGATACATTAAACAATGTAGGCCAGCCCTTCATTGGTTTTACCAAAATGATGTGTTGCAAATGATCGTTATGTTGGAACATAAACATAAATAAACACTATATAAACATAATAAATATAAATAGGCACTAATATTAGTACGAATTTTCGAATTACAGTAAATATTCGATATGTGCACCATTCTCGGGTCTGAACTGGTGCAGATATCGTACAGTTCCTACATTTCGAGCGAAGGAGACTGAACGTAAACAAACAGTGACCTACCAGAAGGACACTCCTAAGGCAAGAATAAAACTTTTTTATTTTTGATTTTTT